CTCCGCACTGTTCCTTGACTTGAAAGACTTTGAGTAAACAGAGGCAGAAGGTGGTGTGTTGTTCTCTACCTCTCTATTTGGGTCTTCTCAGACTGCTGTCTGGCCTTCTGAACCTGCCGTGCCTTCCACAGCTCATCTCTGTGACGCCTGCCGTCATTATTGTCTCCTCTTCCTGTCTGTAATTTTCCAGCATGGCCGCCTGTTAGCTGGCAATGATGCAGGCCCATGTAGCTTGAACGTGCAACAAACCCAGTCTTCACTGATCTTCAAACCTCTGCTAAAAGAGGAGCACTTGTATTTTTTGCACTGGAGTTGTGATGTTAATGTAACCTACCAATGAGTATCATGGAATCTGCAGGCCTAAATCATTACATACGTGCCTCAAATCATGTCAAGGTGTTAAGTAATCTCAAATAGCTTTGCTTAATTAATTTTAGAGCTAAGACTATGACATACAGCATCAGAAACCACACAAGCAAATCTATTTTAGATATTTAACTCAACATGGTTTGAGGCTTGTGTGTAATGATTTAGGCTTGCAGTTTGTATGACTGTAATTAGTGTATACATCAGCTTCTCTTAACTGTTAGCTAGGTTAGCATGGTAGCACCAGGGCAAAACTAAAGAAGCAACATTTGGAGACCAAATATGTCTTGTCTGATTGACTATATTTGATGGGAAAATTTGATTTTTCACTGAACAAAAAGAGCTGTTTCGAAATATTTCGAGTGATTATAAAAAGTGTGAACACATGCTAACTACAACATGATGAAAATCTTGCTTGTAAAGTCCTGTTTGTCTACAGCTTTGTGAAGAAAGGTGTCGCCTGCTCAAGTACGGGGCTTTGCATGCTCTTTAGTTTACAGAGGAGGACTCTAATTAGAAATCGTGGCTATCTCCTGTTTATCATTGTGTCAACGTTTTCACCCCCTTTGATGGGAACATCTAAGAGGAGCTCGTGTGATAGGTAACCTCTCACCGGCAATTACATCCAGCCTCTAAATTAAAGACACCTACACTGACGTCCCTATGTAAGCAGCCCTTCCACTGAATGTCTATTTAAGGTTGCGCCATATCCTCTTCTGTCTGTCTTCCACCTGCATAAGGTTAATCAGAATTAAGTAATTAGAGGCTCCATCATCTCTTAAATGCAAACCACTTAAATGAAAGTTAGAACTGATGGAAAAACATCTGGTAACACAAAAAGGTTTAGATAAGAAGAAAGACTATTGCCTGACAGGTGGAGAGCTGGATTGCTGCCTTTAGGCTGGTATGAAGGAAATATGTCTCATCTGTTTTCCTCTATCTTTATTAAGCCATGTGATGCCTCATCGGACATCTGCGTATCTGGGTGTTTGACCAACAGAAGGAAAGGGAATCATCAAGGGACAGGCAAATTGCCCTGATGAAGGTTTTTTTCCCCAACTTCCAGAGCCTTTTTGGATCTCTTTTTTACTGAGTAACTTGAATTTTTCTTTTCTAAATAAAGGACCTAAACGGAACCTTATCTCTTATTTTTTTAAACAAGTACACTGAAAAAAAGTATCTAGTTGATTCAATGTGTACAACATTTCCACATGAATTAAATATACATTTAAAAAATAAAGTTGCTCAATGTCATAGAACAGGGTTTCTCATCTCCAGTCCTGGCTACCCACTGCTCTGCAAGTTAGTCTCAAGTTATCCCTCCCCAACACAGCTCAGTCAACTCCTTACACAGTTCAGCTACAGTGATTACAAATTCTATTTATGATATTTAACTCCAGCCCACTGTTTTTTTTAATATAGAACCATTCCGTTATGCCAAGGTTCTTAAAATGAATTAAAAAAAAAGGTCTCACTTTATTTGGATAGTCCACTAATGTCCCCTATAGATTTTCTACAGAAAAATTGACATTAAATTGTTAACAAACTATCTGTTGAAACTCTGTTGATTCTAAAAAGTTTGGAGGGTTGAGGGTTAGGATTTGGACCAGGGGGTAGGGGTAGGGCTAGGACCAGGGTGAGCGTTGGGTTTAGGTTTTGGGTTGAGGTTAAGGTTAGGATTAGGATTAGAGCCAGGTTTAGAGTTAAAGAAAATTATGGTCAATTTAGTAGATATTTATCTGATCAACCCAGACATGTGAGGCTAATCCTGCTAATAAACACTAGGAGTCAATAGTCACCCAAATCTTCTCCATCAATACATCTTCAAAACTTCTCTCAATCCACTCAAACCATATGTAGATCTTCATTATGGTTGCACAGACTTAACAGAATGGTTTAGAGTGCAGTACAACTTACTGTAATCTATAAAACAAACCTCACTGTGTAGCTGAACACTGAGGGTAGCCATTTTAGACAAGTGTCGTTCCTAACTCCTTTCGTTGTGCACACGTCATGCAAACAGATTCGTGAATTCTGCTGTTTTTATTTAGAAATAACTGTTAATCTTGAACTTGCAAATGTATTCTTGCTTCTATATGCCTACATGATGTCTAAATGCGGCCCAACACCTGTTGTCAAAAATCTCTGACTGCTGCATTCATGTACATGGTGAAAATTTATTTTACAATTTGAAATTTTACAGTATTACATAGTATTAAGCTATAGTTTCATAGTTGGACAACGTCCTAAAACACATTGACAAGTCTGTGTGACCTTGTTGAAGACCTGCATGTGGTCTCAGTGGTTTGAGAAAAGTTTTGGGGATATATTCATAGAAAAGATTTGGGTGGCCGTTGATTTTTAGTGTTCATTAGCAATGTTAGCCTCATAGTTCCAGAGCTAAACTAAATAAGCAGTTTATCTTGCTAATGGACTACATCTAGGGTAAGTAGAAAATTGTGTAAATTTAATTTTTCGCCAAACAATTTCTTTAAAGTTTAAAAACAGTTCTTCTTTAGGGAATCAAGAGAATTTATTCTATGGCATTGCTCGAAAAATACCTTCTTTTCCACCATTTAAGACTTTAGGTTTAGTAACTTTTGGCCATAATTGTGTTTTTCTTTTAGAATAGTTTTAATATCCTTTACTAAAGGCAAGAGAATCATATATCACAGCCATGTCCAGTCCTTAAACAGGCCCAGAGCAAAGCATGTGTCTCTAACAGTGCAGACGCTTTACAAGGTAAATATTTATCTCACATTAATGTGTTTAGCTTCTTTCTAAGTAAGTCTCTCAGGGAGCCCTCACTTACTTAACTATTTGTCGCAAAATAACATTGTGCCACAAAGCTGTTGACTGATCTTAACTTCAAAGTGAGCCAGGCTTTTGAGGCAGGCTGCAAACATTCACACTGCCTCCTTCCGAGGCCCTTGAATTGCTGTTTTATTGTACCCGGCACTGAAAAAGAAAAAAAAGAGGGAAATCCTCTATTCAGTGGTTATATTTGCAGATTAGTTATGACTGAATGCCAGAAACATCCTTTGATGGCCACTTATTCTTATGAGCGGAGAGCGGATTGCATGGCCAGGAACCTGCTCTGGAATCTTACAGACGTGCTCTGTGGCCCTCAAAGAATTAGCCGCCTTACTGTATAGCTAGCTGGGGAGTTTTGAGTTTCTCTTTGCACCATAGTGACAGTTGGAATTCCATGCACAGATGTTTCTGGGCTCTAAGCTGTTGATGGTATTGACAAAAGCTGGGGGGACGGCCTCCCCAGCAGCAGCCAGAGCATACGGACGGGACAATTGCAACATGTATATCCTGTGCTTTGAAATGCCTACCCCACTGCTTTGTCTCCTTTGACAGCTCCGAGTAAAGACGTCAAGCCCCCAGTTTCCAGTTACTGCAGAGGAAATGCAAAAAAAAGACAAGAGAGGGCTCTAAAAAGGAGGGTATGTGGAGGGATTGTGTGCTTTTGTGATGCTGCCACACTTCTCTTTGAACATCTCAAAAATACCACCACAAAACTTAATTGCCGCCAAGAGATGATAAATTAGCTACTACTATGTAGGACATTCCTCTGATCTGCACTGTTGTGTATGTAAAGTTTAGTATAGGTGTGTGTCTAGTAAAGTATCAGGACGTGATCTCAGCATCCTTGAACTTTTGCACCATTTTTCTCCATATACTGGACTGTATGGTCTCAACAGAGCTGCTAGAGCTTAATAATAGCTGAATGAATGGGGAAAAGGTACTGGGGTCTCGGAAACTTTTCTCCGACATAAAGCAGACATGCCTTATTTGCCTTTTTATTAAAGAAGTGGTATTTTTGAAGAAGTCTGACAGATATTTTAATTTTGTAGCCTTAGCATTACTGAGCTTAGATTCCACTGCTCATTGTCTTCTGTTCCCCCCTAAAACCATGGTTGTTTCTGGGCGTAGCAACATCCTTCAACTGTAATAATTTGCATGCAAGAATGGAATAGTAGTATTACGTCATTGATTCTGATCAATGAAAAGTCAAGTGGAGACAATAACACGTTAAATAACTGGTAAATAAACCAAAATAAAGATTATATAAATAAATACTACATGCTTGTGGGGTCCCTTGATAGCCTGCTTATACTGCTCATAGCTGCCCAATGTCAAATGATGTACAGTTTGTCAAAACTGTTTTGACAAACTGTGATATGATCTAATGATGTTAACTGTTGTTTTTGCTGTGATGTTGTTACTTTGCACAGATGTTTGGTATGTAAATGATTAATGATTACCACCCTTAACAAATTTAAGTTAAAACTCAGAATTTTACCTGGTAACTGTCACAACCATCCCTATGTAAAACATCAAAAAAAAAATGTTTGAAAGAGTTTGTCATGATTCAAATCACTATATCAAATATCATTACACTCTTTATTTAGAATAAAAATAGACATATATCAAACTCTATATGATTGTGAAAATCTGTATATACATTTACAATAAACCAGTAAAAGGTGTGATGCATCCGCAAAAACCACTGTGTTGACAAAAAACATTTAAGTGCCAACTTCCTTATAGTATTTACAATACAGTAATGTACTGCAACCATCAAATGCCAAGTTCCATAGAGAAACATTTATATCTACTCTGCAATGCTGACACACAAATTGTAGATAGAAAGAAATAAAAACAAGATAAAGAAAAACAGAGTATCCCAATCAAAATCCATCTTCCGTTGACTTAGCTTTTCTTTTTTTCTTTCAGACTGGTCCGACTATCCAGGAGCTTTCAGGAAAAAAAATCCTTGATATCAGCAAATTGCATTTCAGTGTCTCTGGCAAGTATGGAGGCTTCGAGAGGACTTGCTGTGGTCTCCTCTTTGCGTCCTGCAAGACAGACCTTCCTCACAGTCGCAGCGCTGGAAGATCTCCAGTCCATGGGTGCCTTTTCGCTTGTGCTTGGTGCAAACCTGGCCCTCTTTTAGGACAGGCTTGCAGATCTTAGACCAAAAATGACGGGCACAGCACAGCCCCTCTGCACAGTCAGAAGATCTCAGGCAGGTCTCGCCCTCAAGACCTAAAACACAATTGAAAGAGAGAGTCAGACCAAGTACTATACTGTTGAATGGCTACAGTGTCCAGAGTTCCCTTCTCGCTCTCTTAACTATTTATCAGTGTTTAATTCATAATAGTTACTAGGTAATAGATCTCAATATTAAGCATAGAGCTTGATGGGCCAAATTATAAGACAACATGGTTAATGATTTACCTTTCAGGTTTTGAGGCAGACCTTGAGTTGCTGGCTTGGACTGCAGTACCACTGTGGCGTTGTCCTCATGTGGGGTGCTGACAAGCACAAGCTCTTCTACTCCAGCTTGTAGAGCAATGTCAGGGTCATTTGGTTGACACACTCCTTTAAAAACAAAAACATTGTCATTTTTAAAATTGTGTTTTAAGCAATTTTGTAGCTGACTTGTCATTGAGGTCATTTGCAGACAGTGGTTATGTAGTCACTGTCCAAAAGAAAAAAATGTATGTCCATTTTTATTGTTCTCCATCATTTGAACATGGCAGCTGCCCTTTGCATTGTGTACAAATTTTATGATGAATGGACCAATATAAATGCTCTAAAATCACTTGGAGTAAAACCTCTTTACATTAATTTACTTTGAAATTAAAGAACATTTTTGTGTTCTCCTGCAAAGTTGTCATTTTGAAGATACTTGTTTTTCTTTGGACAGCGACTATATAGCCACAGCGCATATATATATATATATATATATATATATATATATATATATATATATATATACACATACAAACATACATACACACACACACATATATATATTTATATATATATATATATATATATATATATATATATATATATATATATATATAGCAGCTGAATCTGATCCAGTCCTGTAACAAATCTAACCTGAAATAGTAAACACTCACATTGTTTGATGTATTATTAGCTGCGTATTTCTTGCTTTGGGGTTGTAATGTTTTTGAGTAGTTTGAGCATTATAGCCTACTTTTTCCTAAGTGAAGTGCTTCTATTGAAAATAGCTCATTTCAAAGCTTAATAGTTTTTAAAGGAAAAATATACCAAAGGTTTTAGTATCAGTACTTGAAGAGCAAAAGTGGTATTGCGCAGCCTCTACATACGGCTCAGTAGCAGTTTAAGGAGTCAAGGTGACTTCAAGATACCAGTCCAGAGGCCTACTATACAGCTCCAATGACAGCTCGAAGGTTTTATCATGTTAGAATTTAAATAAAACACTCATTTTGGCGGAAAAGGCCCATATTTTGATGGCGTCAGAAGACTCTTACCGTTGTTACAGTGGTTGCCAGGGCAACACATAGCGTCCCGGATGCAGCGCTTTCTCCGCTTCTTACACTGGAGGCACGCGCCGCGAGACCGGAAACAGAACTCATCTTCAGCGCACTGCTCGTCGACCACGCAAACGAGAGGCTGCAATTTACGAGAGAAAAACACAGAAACACGAAAAATATTAGATACTGAAACGTGTTGAGTGCTCGATAATGCGAATATAAAGGAAGAAATGCGGAAAAAAACAGAACAAGGTAAACTCAGTTTCCTCAGTTTGGGCAGATAATTCGGGATAACATTACTGCTTCCACACTTAAAATCCACCACCAGAACACGTTAACAATGTTACCTGAACTGTAGCTCAGGTACCATTTGTTGACAAAGGCAAAGACGTCTTGTGCCTAATTTAACCATTTTAAAGACGAAAAAATCTAAAGTATCCGGGCTGTAGCCTCACCTGCATCGTATCGGTGGCGAAGTTCTGACTGCCCTCATCCACGGGAAACACCTGTGGACTCTCGCTGACCGCCGGACCCGAGCTGGCCACGGCTGGACCCACCTTGATGGCGTTGGAGTTAAATAAACCGCCGGCCGCCGTCGTGAGCTCCGCGTAGCTGAGCAGAGTGACGCAGGCAGCAGTCAACACCGCGAGCCACATGGTGCTGTTGGTAGAAGCTGAAGCAGATACTCCTCGGAGATGCTCGGTAATTTCCTGGCTGTTGGAGCTCTTGGAGGCTGAGCTGCTGGCTCGCTGTTTTCTGAGCGGTCATGAGCTCCTGCCGCCTCCTTTATACCCGCCCAAGTGTTTGCGTTCCCGCCCCTCTCTGTCAACTACAAAGGGAGGGCGGTGAGATTTGAAAAGAAGCGCTGCTGGGGCACGGAGCCCGGACTGCTGCCGGCAGGGAGCTTTCTGTGTGTATGTATGTGTGTGTGTGTGTGTGTGTGTGTGTACGTGTGTATAAGGCATCACGAGCTGACATCAAACACAAAGCGGAGTAGTCTATTAAGGGAGCTGTTATCCGCGCTTTAACTGGGATTAAGGAAATGTGTATTGGAGAGCCGTTCTAATCAGGCGGGATTATTATAGGGAGTTACGGAGAAATATGTGTATTTTGTGTTATTTTACTTTGATTTAATGTAATGTTATATTTATTGACTTTAATACATGAAAAAAGTTGATTTTTTAATATTTTATATGTAATATGTTGCGTATTTTTTTTTAGTTTTGATGTCTTTACTTGGAACTATACCATTTAAAGGGAACTACCATTTTTTGTTGTTATTTATCATTTTTGTTATTTTTTTCAAGGCACCAGAATAAAATTCGGTGTTTTAAAAATGTGGTATAGGCTACATCAATTGCTCGGGAAAAAAGTAAGTAAATATATGAATAATTTAATAAATAATAAGTTGCATTTAAGACCGTGTTCCGCTTTTATCTCCATAAACGCCGTAAGAAACGAGTTCCACATACAGTTTTAGTCAGGTAATATTTCAGATGAGTATGATTACGTGTGCGCTACAAGAAGTCATTTTCGCTCCATTAGCCGCGTTTGATGCGTGGCCCTAATTGTAATGGAGGCACTTTGAAATTCAGTTGATAAAACAAGAGGCGAAGATCAAAGAGGGGATGCAAATGAGGAGGAGGGGAAAGTTTACCGAATTAATTATCATTCAGTCTCTGCTTTTCAGTAAATAGTAGTTGATTAACACTCTGCGGTGAGGAGATGGAGCATGGCTTCTTGTGAAGATCAACCACACTGAGGTTTAATCATATTGAATACTTTATTCTCACTGAGCCCGATGATTTGAGTCTAGCCTGCAGTTTGAAGACTGGAGGATGATTGAAAATAGATTCTAATTCAGTTTCACCTTTATATACATTTCATAGGACACAATGAGCTGAAAGGTGGTTCTGCATATGTATATTCTCTACACTTCTAAACAAGATGGTTCTTTAAGTTTCTTTAGTAAAGGGAATGGTTCTAATTAGAACCATAGAACCATTTCATGCTTAAATGGTTCTTTGCATGGAGAAATGGTTCTTCGGACTGATGGAGAATGTGTTGCATGTCGTTCTGTATAGCCTAGAACCTTTTTGGAAATGGTTCTATATAGCACCAAAAAGGGTTTTTTCTATTGTAACAAGCTTGATATCAATTTGGTGCTATATAAAAAAAAATCCAAAAAGATTCTATACAGAGCCATATACAACACATTCTCCATCAATCTGGAGAACCATTTCAACATAGAAGCATGAAATAGTTCTGCGTAGAACTCATAAACAGAACCATTCCCTTTACTAAAGAACCCTTGAAACATCTTTTTAAAGAGTGTATGATAGTTTGAAATGGTAGTATCTCCAGCAGAACAAAGCCTGAGCCCAAACCCTGCGAGCCTACTATCATTGTTCGTACATCCTCCTCTTTAATATTGCCCGCGCAGCGTCTTTAGATGCGGTGATTTTGAGCGTGAAATCATTTAACGATTTAACAGTCTCAAAGTGCCTGTCTGCCAGAATGCTTTGGGCTGACCTTCTAAACACTGGGCTTTGATGTTGTTGACCGAGGTTGGTTATAATAGGCGACTACAGGACAAACGTTCAATACACTTCATTAAACGTGAATTGGCAGCATTCAGCGCCATTCTTTCGTCTCTTGGCTTTGTTTTAATTGTACAATCCAAAGGCTACAGTGGTGTAAAAGCGAGGCCGGGGCAGAACCGCCCTTTGATGAGGGACACATCAAACGGGAATGGGAAGCTGCGTCTTAATCGGGCTTCTGCATGCTCGACCCTCTCACAGACCCTCCGTTTGCTCGCAGACATCGTGCTCAGCAAATTCATTTAGCACCATGGCAGGTAATCCTGCTCTCAAACGCCACGGACGAGGCTGAACAGTCACAGTCAAACTGTAACGAAACGGTGCTTCTGTAAGGCTGCGTTCACACCCGCAGCGCCAATCTAGTTTAACTGCGTATCGGCTCACAAATCGGATTGTGTGGATTCTGAACAGCACAGACATAAGGAATTCTTACAAATCCGACACAAACGACATCGGAATGTGGATTGAAATTTAATTTAGATTCGATTCACAATACTACATGCCAGTAAACGCGTCGATTGGCAGCCTTGCCCATCACCTACTAGATTATCTTAGCGATCTTAGCGACCACTGCAGCTATTCCATTGCGCAAATAATAGCACCGAACGGCCAGTCTCTAAATAAATAAATAAATGAACAGCTGAAATTAACTTCCAGAAGGCATCCTGTTTCCAAAATGATCAAATCTTTACACAGATGCACTGCATGTCCAACGGTTTGTAGACACCTGCTCACCCAATGTTTCTTCTGAACTCGACAGTATTAAAAGGACGTTTGCCCCCCTTTGCTGCAGTAACAGGCTTTACTCTTCTTGGAAGGCTTTGGCTGTGAGAATTTGATTGCATTCCGCCACAAGGGCATTAGTGAGGTCAGGAACTGCACTGTAAAGAAAGATTCATTGTCATAGCTTAAAAAGCAAGTGACCCAGTTGCCTTAAAAAAGCTTTTAGAAGTTAAATGAACTCAGGCAACAAGGTTACTAACCTTTTTAAGTTAGTTCAACCTAGATACTGGACAGTGCTCCATTCCTCCAGATAACCCAGTTCCACTGCCCCACAGCCCAGTGCTTGGCATTAGGCTTACTACCGTATGCAATATGAGATAAGATTGAATACCCTGGGACAAATGAAATGGTATTTTGATTGTCTGTTAAAATAAGTTAACACATTCTTCACTGGGAACAAACATAAGCATGGCATTTTTCTGTGAACTTCAGTACACAATTTCATGCATATTGGAAATACACATATAGAGCTTAACATATTGGAAAAACGAAGTATAAAATGTGCTATAACTTTTGCACAGGCCATATTTTATGTGAAGGTGATCAAGCTTCCATCGTTCAGCTATGTCCCTATAACCAAGCAAAGTTCTCAACATCAAAAACTGAACAAGAAGCAGATAAACTTTGTTAGTGATTTTTAAATTATTATTTTTTTAATTTAATAAAACACAGTGTGTCAATTTAGCACCTAGTGTTGATCCAAATACCAAAAATGACATGTTTCTGCTTTCTCCGGGAGCTCTTTCTTGACTGGTATAACAGTGAGCTGGATCCAAGCAGAGGGGGGTGATGCATTTCTCTAGTTTCTCTGATGAAGCTCCAGAAGCGCTGGTGTCCTCTGTTGACACGAAAGCGTGCTGCTGTGGGCTCTGTGCTTGGAGCTGGATGAAAACTGTTCTTTCGTCACTCTAACTGGCCTCAGAAGCTCGGGTTATTATGAGCTGACTTGCAATACACAATTTAGACACTGAATGAACTTCACTACCCAAATGTAGAATGGGCCATACATGTGGAGTAGGCATGTTTTGTTCCTGGGATACATCAATTGCCCTACAAATGTGTTCTTAGCAACTGTTGCAAGGATGTAGAAGCTTTTACAGATTATTAGCAAAAATTGTAGCACAAATCTGGCAAAATAGGTAAATTATTCACATCAGGCTGCTGCAAAGTCTGTTTAGAGATGCAACACAACATTGAGTTTCCAGTTTGAAATGCTACAGCACCAAGCTGGACTATGTTGTTGGAGCTAAAAGAAACTAAGCAGGTGGGAAACAAGCTAACATTGGCTTAATTTAAATTTAGTCTCTTCAGTCGCTTGAGTAGGACTTGTACATGCATGCGAAATATCGTTTAAAATCAATACGAAAACTGAGTACGATACAGTTTCTCAGTTGGTTGAATTCACAGTTTTGCGAATGTTGATGTGTAAAGCTTGTTCAATCTGCAACAGTTGCTATGAAAAATGCATTGCAAAGAACCACTGACACATTCAAATGGTTCTTGGAGTGTTCACGGTTCCATATAGACTCAAGGCCTTTACTAAAAGACCCTTGAAGAACCTTTTATTAAGAGGTCAAGTCAATCAAATACTGGAAAAGGGCATTCTGCTCTAAATTTTCACATGTATTAACCCCACATGAATTTCTGAACCATTCTGAAATGACACAGGCTTTACTTACAGTGGGCCACGCTACAACATTTTTACCTTGAAGTTCTTTAGCTGTGTCTCATTCAGACTGAGTGTGACTCACAATCATAGCTCTGTGACTTAAGGGTCACTGATGTCATCTGTACCCCCTGTGACTATGCCTTTTGATGTCTATGAGACGGTGTTTGGTAAAGGGCGGCCGTTTTCCAAGTTTATCTGTGTTGGAGAGGGCAGGGAAGAGAGTTGTTTACAAATCATTATCACCAGCTGATATGAAGTCAGTCTTTTCTCACAGCTAAAATCAAAGCTCACTGTTCTCTGCTGGGGTCACAATGAGTTTGGAACTAAGTGGAACTTGTTTTAGTTAACGTAAAGCAGCAGCGTGGAGAGTCAACATCGTATAGACGAATGGAGAATGGACAAGAACACTGCTTCGAACGATGCTTTTATTGTAAGAAAACGGCATATAAATCGCTGAACCTTAAAAAAGCCACAAACGAGTAAGGATTACATTTTTTTGAGGTGTCTGACCTAGTCATGCAGCATCAAAACAAACATGGGATCGATGTTGAATGCCATTGAGTTAAGGCACTTCCATTAATGCCAAAAACTGTGACAAGCACACAATCTCTGTCATGGAGTTATTGGAGAAGTAGGGGACGAAAGAGATCGACGAATTCTACAAAATACCATACAGATAAAACATATTCCAAACAAATTAAATAATATAGCTGGGTTTACTCTGACAATAAACTTTTCTTTCTTTTCTACGAGTATCACAAAATATTAGCACTGAATATGTACACAAATATTTACCT